CATGGCACTTAATAAACAACCAATAATTTTATATAAATGATTTAATGAATGAATAAAATATACTCTACAATCAAAGAACAGTTAAATAACTGAAGTTAGACCAACTTAATGAAATGTTCTAGTCATTAAACATGATCATTTTTAAAGGAAAGATAATAAAAAATATATATGTCAAACTTTAAAATAGGCTTTGACTGAAACAATATAAAAGAGTTGGCAGGTTTAGGAGTATTTTCTACTTTTACCCTTAACCTTTTTTTTTTTTTAACAATACTTTGTTTTATTTTTTAAAAACTTTTTATTTTGTATTTGGGCCTAGCTGATAACAACCTTGTGATAGTTTCAGCTGAAGAGTGAAGGGACTCACTCATACATATACATGTATCAATTCTCTCCCAAACTAATGCTTTCTTTTTTTTGTTTTTTGGTTTTTTTTTTCCATTTATTTTTATTAGTTGGAGGCTAATTACTTTACAACATTGCAGTGGTTTTTGTCATACATTGAAATGAATTAGCCATGGATTTACCAAACTAATGCTTTCAAACACAGCTTCCATGTTCTTAAAACAGTTAAACAATTATTAAACAAATATACCCTGTGCATTCTTTGATCATTATAAATATTTATAAGTATGAAATGTAAGAATAAAATAAAATAAATATTTTAGCAAATAAGATTTTTTCTTTTAAATATTTATAGCTTTGATTAAACCTAAATAATGAAAGAAGTTTTAGAGTATCCATAATTGATATATCTCTCACATATTCCCATAGTTAGCCCCTTAAAAAATTTAATATAAACACTGCTCTAACTGCTTTGATATGTAGAAGTATTACAATACTCTTCTAATTAAAACTTTCCTGAAGTCTCTAGAAGGAAGAAAGAGAAGAAATAAAATAGGAATAAAGAAGGAAATTATCAGGCTAAAACTCTAAAAATAATTGTGCCAATGAGTATAAGTCTACAATTAAATATAGAGATTTTTTCATCTTGAATAATATGATTAAAAATTTTCCTTATAGTGACCTTTTAGCCACCTAGCACTTAACTAAGACAAACACTTATTAGCCTTGGTTAACAGTGGCTCACAGCAACAAGAGCTGGAATGGCGAGATGTGCACTTGTAACGGCATGACCCCATAAAAGGGGTCAAAGGCAATACCCAAAATCTAAGTGACGGGCAAGGGTGAGAAGTGCAGCAAACACAGTGGAAGCATACAGCCAAGTTGGCTGAATGAACTGGAAAAAGAGCCAAAATGTAAACCAAACCCAAAGCAGGCTCTCAAGTCAGAATGAAGGCCAGGTCAGGCGTGAAGGAGGCATAGGTTGAGGACTTGTGGACAATATGGGCAGGACTGGGCTTTCCTCCTTCCTCTCTGAGAAGGAATATCTCTTCTCCATTCATGGATATGTGTGGGTTACTTGATATTATGAGCCTAGAAATTTACCTGCTGGCCAATCTACTTCAGAAAGACAATTCACATCTCCCACACTCACTCATAATGTTATGTTTAGGTGTATCTTCGTGTCAAGGAAAAGATATCAGAACGATTAAGATGCTGAGTAGTTCTCCAAAGTCATAATATGAATCAAAGTTGAACCAGAGTGTAAGATCCATTTCCTCACTCCTAGCATCATTACATCTGCCAGTTATGCTGCTTCCCATCAAAATGATTTAAAGTCATTCTTTTTTTTCCCCTAATGCTACGCACCAATGATGCCACATAAATCTCAAGGTAATATTAAAGTTATACTTCTTTTCAGAATGTAAAGGCAATCTCTTTACATAGCGGATGGAAAAACAATATTAAATGACAGGGTTTTTTGTTGTGTGTTTTTTTTTAAGTTAAAGAGATAATCCTTACATGTTACTTTTTTTTTGTTTTCCCCCCTTTTTGGCCATGCCACACAGTTTTGCAGGATCTCAGGTCCCTGACAAGGGATTGGGCCTGGGCCACATCAGTGAAGGCCCAGAATCCTAAGCACTAGGCCATCAGGGAACTACCCTACATTTTACTTTTTATATCTGAAAAATAAACATATTTTTAAAATATGAGCTAAGTCTTAGCAACAATACAGTCTGTCTCCCTGTATATTATACAAACCCTTATATAGAGTACACAGAATAAAAGTTAACCCTGTGGGATTTAAAGTCAAACACACAAATATTTTCATCACCATTCTGAAAAACCACGTGATCTTGGGCAAAAGACTTACCTTCTTAAGTTATGGCTTCTCCACCCATAAAATGGGGATAATAACAGTAACTCCCTCAGAGGGTTGTTTGTTGTAAGGATTCAGTGAGAAAGGCACTTAAAGGCTTAGCACAGTTCCGAGCACCACAGTCCGTGCTCATTCAATGTGTATTAATCATAGTAGTAATAGCGCCCCTCAGACTTATGGCCGGAAGCTCACCAGCTGGAGCTGAGACTCCCCCGGGCTCTTCCGTTACGCTAGTATCCATGACATGGGACTTGTGTCATCCTTGAGAGCATGTCAGGGAGATGGCATGCCTCCCAGTGTTTTTCAGGAGCACTGGTGTCACACCACACACACAGCTCTGAAAATCTAAGCAGATTTCAAAGTTGCTTAAATAGCTTTCTTGGCCAAGAGACACGTGAGTTGCCAACTGGCAGTGGGACGATTTTCCACTCAAACTTGGCAGCAAAAGAATTTAAACAGAAAGCTGGGAGGAAGGCAAGGGAAATAATGTGCTTCCTTCCTCAAGGCAGTTTTGGACCCTTTGGCACCAGAGAAGTATTTTAAAGAAGACAGAGAAATTTTGTATGAGCATTACAGTATTTAATTTTTTAACTTATTAATTTTTAATTGGAGGAAAATTGTTTTACAATGTTGTGTTGGTTCCTGCCATGCACCAACACGAATCAGCCATCAGTATACAAATGCCCCCTCCCCTTGGATCTCCCTCCCACCTCCCATCATATTTCACCCCTCCAGGCTTTCACAGAGTTCTGGGTTGAGCTCCCTGCATCATACAGCAAATTCCCACTGGCCATCTATTTATGCATGGTAATATATATGTTTCAATGCTACTCTCTCAGTTGGAAGTAAGTCGCAAAAGAAAAACAAACATCATATATTAACGCATATACATAGAATCTAGAAAAATGGTACCTATGAACCTATTTGTAGGGCAGTAATAGAGACAGACATAGAGAACAGACTTGTGGACACAGCAGGGGAAGGAGAGAGTGGCACAAATTGAGACCGTATTTATTTTTAATCTATCAAAAATAAATTGAAAAGGAATGCTAGTTATCATCTTTCCCTTTCTACCATTTTTTTTTTTTTTCGTATTTGGTGAGCTCTTTTTTAGAAGATACTGGAATTTCTTCATTTGGGTGCTCTAATTCAGGTAAGTGAATTTGGATTTTTAATTTATTTTTATTGCAGTAGAGTTGATTCAGGTGTACAGAAAAGGGATTCAGTTATATATTTTCTTTTTAAGATTATTTTCCACTATAGATTATAAAATATTGAATATAGTTCCCTGTGCTATACTTAACTTTAGAGTCTAGGTCAGAGCCACAAGCTCCACTAACTGAACATTTGTTCCCTGGGGGAGAGATTTTGTTTCTAAAACCTGTTCAGCCGTCACCATGGTTTACCTTTACACCTGCTTTACACTTCCCATCCCGAACAAAAGAACTGCCATCTGTAAATATTTCCGGGTCAGGATTGTCTAATGGGGTATTCATCAGATCTTCTTGATCTGCATAGTTTAAAGATAGAAATTGAGGACAATCGTGATCAGGTGTCTCATTTTCCTTCTCAGGAAGGAAAGTGGCAGGATAGAAGTTCCCACACACTTTAAGCTTAGTTATCGGTCCTTCTAACAACAATAACTGATGTTTAAGAAGCCGACTGTCTGTCATACAAATACCACCCTTAGAGTTTAAGATTCCACCCCTGTAGGCTGCTGGCAAGGCCCTCAGGGTTGTGTCAAGTCGTTGCTGCTTATATGTCTTATACACAGTAGTGTGTATTTATTAATCCCAAATTCCTAATTTCCCTCTCCCTGTTCCCCTTTGGTAACCATAAATTTGTTTTCTATGGCTGTGAGTCTGTTTCTGTTTTGTAAATAAGTTCATTTGTATCTTTTTTTTTTAGTGAATCTGAATATTTTGAGTCAAACAACAGACATTTGACTTCAGTGATCCTGCAGAATTTCTTCTCTTCCTTTAAAACATAAAATAGAGCCTAATAACAAAATAAGTTTTTTCATATTTCCATTATTCTTGTAAAAGAGTAAGAGGAATCAGGGTAAGTGCCAATGGATATCTAAACCTTCTCGAAGAGGAACTCCAACTCAAAGTATTATGATGGCCTTCTAACCAAATTAGGAAACTTGCAAGGATAAAGTTTCTACATGCTTCCTCAGAAAACACTACTCCAAAGTACTAACAGGAAATGTTTTCTTATTTATGTATACATGGTTTAATTCCAAAAAAGATTTGAGGCAAGGCATAATGATATATACAACATATTGAGATTAAAAAATTGAGAAACTATAAAATAATTAAAACATTTGTTAGAAAAAATAGACATCAGTGCTAAGTGTGGGCCTTAAACTTGCTCTAAGCATCCTAGCAGTCAATAGAAAGAACTGAATTATATTATTTGATATCTATAAGATTAACAACAACAATCATGTGCCTAAGAAAACTACTTTTATCTAATATATTCCTCCTGCTAGGGTTTGTAACAATCTCCTTACATTTACTTGTAAACTAGAACACTATTACTCAAGCTAAAGAGGGAAGAGAGAATACTATTATATTTCAGAGATTTCTACTGCCACATTTAAGGGAAGGATGTCATGATATCAACACAACTAAATAAGTATACCTAGTTAAAACAAAGAACACCCAGTAAACATATTCCATAATAATATTTCCATGTATAATTTTTAGTAATTGATGCCCCTTAAGAAAATCTGTAAGAAAGACATCATTGATGTCAATGATGAATGACTTACCATTTAGACACTTTAAATAGGAGACTAGAACTTTCACACTTCATGGAGTTATAAGTGTCTGTGGTAGAGAGAACAACGGCTCTCCAAAAGTGTCCATGTCCTAACACCAGACACCTATGAATGTCACATGTCAAAGGCACTTTGCAGACGTTATTAAGGAGCTTGAGATGGTGAAATCACTCTGCGTTGTCTGGATGGTTTATACAATCACAAGGGCCCGTCCAAGAGGGAGGGAGGAGGGGCGGAGCTGGAAAGGTGAAGAGGGATTGGAGAAGCAGAGGCTGGAGTGATATAAGGAAGGTGACACAAGCCACCACGGAAGGAGGTGGTCACCTCCTCCCTTAGACCCTGCAAAGGGAAAGAAGATGAATTCTTCCCCAAAACTTTCAGAAAGAACACAGCCCTGCTGATATCTTGATTTGAGGACTTCTGACCTCTAAAACTATAAGACAGTAACTTTGTGCTGTTTTAAGCTCACCAAATCTGTAGCAATTTGTTAGAGAAACAATGGCAACTAATTCAGTGACTACAAATTCAATATATTACCAATTGACCCCATGAATTTCTACCTAGATACTAAAAATATATTAGTGATAAATAGAACAAAAAAATGCTATTTGCAGCAACAGGGATGAACCTAGAGATTGTCATACTAAGTGAAGTAAGTTTGTCTTCACAGAGAGAGACAAATATCATATGGTATCATTTACATGTAGAATCTAAAAAGATTGTACAAATGAACTTATTCATAAAATAGAAATATAGTCACAGATGTAGAAAACAAACATGGTTATGCAGGGTGAGGGGATAAATTGGAAGATTGGGTTAACACATACACACTACTATATATAAAGCAGATAACAAAGACCTACTGTGTATCACAAGGAACTCTGCTCAACATAATGACCCATATGGGAAAAGGAACTGAAAAAGCACGGGTATACGTATAACTGATTCACTTTGCTGTACACTTAAAACTAACACATTGTAAATCAACTAAGCACCAATAAAAATTGTTTTTAAAATGAAATAATGTTCACTTTAATACATATCTCCTATAGTTTAGCTAAGCCACAAAATGAGCTCCAAGTATATCTAGATATTCTGAATATCACAATTTTCAAAGTGTGCTTCATAATACACCACTGGTTCTATGGGATGTTGAAAGGTGTTAAGCATACACACAAAAGAATTCTAAAAGTCCAATAACTTGAAAAAATTATACCATATAATTGTAAAACAATTGAAACTTTTTTTTAAAATTATCTCGAGTCTAGATTTACCAAGAAACTTTTTGGGTTATTCAAAGGATCCACATCTACCACCACCGCACTATCAGGAACAGGTAAAAGATGGAGGCAAAATAGTAGAATAAATGTACTAAATGACAGAATGAAAGCATCCTTCCAACTTTAGGAAATCTGGCTAACCAACCCTGTTCACAATTTCGTGCTCTCCAGCTCATGTTCATCATACCCTGTTCACTGAGCACAGGCCTTCTCAGCAAGGAGATTCTCAGATAACATAGCTGCTTCTTGGTGTCTCTGCCACCTGCCACTGACATAATCCATGAGAGCTTGCCCAAGATTTTATTTGGAGGAAAGACACAAGGACTACTCATCAATCAAATTGAAAAATATAAGCCATTTACCTCCCTTGTTTAACCCATTCCCAAATATGTAATTCATGCTCCCAACATACTCCACCCTCCCCCATCTAATTCTCTCCAACTATAGACAGGAAAACATTTGCCAAGAATATATTTAGGTGAACACAAATCTCCAACAGGGACACTGCAGAAACTTCAGACTTACCCCTAAGGAACAAGATTTCCGGGGGCACAGAATGCCAAGATTGTCAACAAGAGCCAAAGCTTGGTCTCTCATGAGTACTACAGTAAACATTTCAACAGATCTCTTTGCTGCAGGGCTAATGAGTGCCATATATCTTTAAGAGAAAAGGAAAACAGTAGAGTGTTTTTCACATATTTATGACCCAGAAACCTTCCTCTCTGGAACATTTACAGAATAGCATTTGGAAAATAGTTTGCTAGTTATATATGAAATTTCCTAAAATCAGTCAATTCCTTTGAGGATTATCATGTGAAAAGGGAAAAATAAAGAGCCTATGTAAAAAAAAAAAATTTTACATGGGAAAATTGAGAATTCATTTTAGCCAAATAACAATATAAAAAAGCTTGTTTCTAGACATCAAGCAGGAGATTTGGGCCCTTACTGATGAACTAGCGTAGCCAGGTTAACTCAAGTAAGGATAAATTCAGAATGCTCAGTTGTCAGGTGAACAATTAAAGCAGAAATTGAGGCCATGAGGCCAAGACAGGATCAGCATCAAGGAGGGCAACATTTGGCATGAAACAGACACAGTTAATAGAAATCCAGGTCCCCCCAAGTCACCCCCACTTGCCAACTCAAACATCAAGTGCAGAAGATAAAACAACATGACTCAAAACCAGTACCTCAGCACCATCCCAGGTACTAAAAGCTTAAAAATGTAAGGAAAAAAATGTTTCAGGCAAAATAAATGACATTCTGAAAAATGACTGTCATTATTTTTAAAACCATAGAAAATAGCCACATATATCTAACAAGCAAATAATAGCTCATCTACTGGGAATTGCATAGGCCTTTGGCCCAGAATAACTTCCTTACTTATAATCCTGTTTTTCCTAAAGAACTTTAAAAAATACTATTTTTGAGAACTTTCCAAAAAATTAGCATAAAAAACTTTTTTTCCACAGAAAGTTATCAACCAAACTTCTCTGTTTCACAATAATTTTAAAAGTTATCCACCAAATGTTTATATTCCAGGAAGCAAAACACAATTAAGAAGTATTTTTTTAAACTTAGGAAAGTCTATAAACACCCACAACTACACCCACTAACACATAAAACCCAAATTAGTGTAACACAGCTTAGTCTTTAAAAAAGAACTTCACAGCAAAAGGCAGCCATTATTATCTTAGATGAGCTTATCTGTCTTTTGGTCATTAAGATGATGTCATTACATTACTTATATTTTCACAAAACACACTGTAAATATAATCACAATAATTAATATATTTTGTCAGTAAAACTCATCCATTCAACAGATACTTATTAAATGTTTTATCTAAACAATGAGCTAACAATGGTGAATATTAATCTATGTGTCTGTCCCATAATTTCATGCATTAAATTCTTCTCCCCACAGATATAAAGTTACTAGTGATCCCAAAAATAGTATTTGAGAGTTATGCATCTTTAGTTCTTTATGGATACATAAAGGGAAGGTAACTTTTCTAAATCTTAAAGTGAGGCAATCTTTTAAGTCGTGTATTCTGGAAGGTTTACTATATTTTTAAATGATTTTGGAGGACAGGCTTTCTTAAAATGTTGAATTAGTTTACCTATTTTGTGAAGTTTATGAGTAGTATATAATTTGGTCAGGTATTTTGAGACCAAAGAAATAATGTCAAAGAGAAAAAAAGTATGTTAGTACATGCTGTCTTAGTATAAAGATCTATTTTAAAAGTTAAACAATTGATTTTTAAAAATAAAGCTAAATCTACAGAGGTTTTATTTTTTTTAATATGTCTATTTTTACTTAATGTTAAAGTGTGATAGTATTTCCACTTGATAAAGCATTTTAGCAGAAACACTTACCGTAAAATTAGCCATGAAAACTGAGATGGTACTTTGCAACCTGGAATATTTCACAAGAAAATTGCCTAAACAAAAGATTTTTCAATAGCTAGACAAGCAGCTCTATTTGTAAAAAGGAAACTGCTTCCCAAAGAAATAACAGGAATGAACCCTAAATTCTTACAACTGTAAATTATTTTTCTAAAAATATTGTGGTCTAGACACTTAATATGAAGATTAAACCAGATATTTTTGGAAAGTATTTTAACTTCGATTTAATAGCTATATTTCTCACTACAGTTATCTTTTAGATGTAATGTCATATTACATAAGTAATCTCAGTACACAAAGAGGGAGTACTGACACTTCTTGTAGGAGCAGTTAAACCATAGTATTATGTAATTTAAGCAACACTCTCAGGCAAATCTTTTAACAACCAACAGTTTTTTCTAACTATGTAATCAACATTTGCATTAGAGATAAAAACATTAATCCTCCTCCTATGAATCCTTAGTACTGAGGATTCAGTACAGTTTTGTTTTCTGTGTTGTTTTTTTTAATGTTTAATGAAGGAGGTTTTATTTTTTATCTTTTGCAATAAATAAAGATATTAAGAATTATCTTAATTCAAAAAATTACTCATTGTAAAGAACTGGGTGCACTAAGAGTAGGTTAGTTAAAAATAAAGTTATTTGGACACGAAATTTGTGTAGAGAAATTGGATTAAATCTACAGCTCATTCAGTCTAGTAATTTACAAACAACATAATATGCTATTATTCACATTTATGCACATGAAGAAACTGAAATTGAGAGATGTTAAGAAACTAGCCCAAGACCAAATAGCTTGTGAATAGCAGAACTGGGCCTCAGTCACCTTCAGTAGCCAAGAGTACCACCTGGGCCTTCCCAACACCAACATTTCCTGTTTCATTCCACAATGGACATCAAATTTCAATGTACTCTAAAAATACACAAAAATTCAGAGCAAATTCTATAAACCAGTTATGCTCAGCCTTGCAAAATCATTATTGGAAGTATTTATGTTTTCTTGGGCTAGAAAAATATTTCATAATTCACTAAGTTTTTGTTCTAATAAACTATTTTAAGCATAAGTTTCCTTTCAGGAAAAAATATATGCACACCCTTATTCATATACATAGAAAAGGAAAGTTAAGAGAGCTAAACATGCATCTCCCCAAAATTCACACAGGATAGAATCTCTAGTTCCATTCCCATAAGACAGAAAGCTCTTCCCCAGTCATGATTCTCAAGCCTACTGAACGACATCTTCCCCGGGTCAAACCTCTTGGCCCTACAGTGGGTGTCACAGAGACAATCTCAAAGGCACCAAAGAGGGAGAAAACTCTCTTCAGTAGTATTCTTCACTAATTTTTTTTTAAA